GAAACGAAGAGACTAAAATATATAAACAATTCAGTTAGCAAAAGCTCACCTGTGGAGTCATTATCTGAAACAAATCAGAATTTTTAAAATTGTATTTTGTTTACATGTGTGTGCACAGTTCATATATATTGAGGTCATGGCCACTGTGGGATCCTTTCCTTCTTCACCCTGTAGGTTCCAGAGATTGACCTCAGGCTTGGTGTACATACCGATGCTCTCTGAACCATCTTGCCAGTCTTGAACGAGATGTTTTAGCAATCAGAGTTCAAGCCTCTCTCCTCTCTAAAGCTCTTGGAAGATGCGCTACACTCCCAAGAAACTAAGGCAAGATTCCGGGAGGAGACGTGAGGACGCTCAACACCCTATGAAAACGTAAGGAGCTACTGATGGTGGTAACTCCCAACGGATGATGCTGGTTAAAAGCTACACATCAAAACACAATGAGGAAAGGGGTCACTTTAACAGGCAATGCTGGTTACGTCACTGACTCAGAACAACTAAGATATTAGAGGAAAACAGAGGACAATGCCATCAGGACCGTGGGATGGAAAAAACAAATAAGAATCTCTTTTTGTTAACATAAGCCAATTAGAGGAAGAGGGCAGAGTCTGAAAAGACACTTGCACATATTACCCAAAGGACGTACTGACAATGGCAAGGGAGCCTGCAAGCCAAGAAACCTAAGGAGGATCATGAGTGAGTTCTCTCCAAGTTAGAATATCATAAGTATACTTTTATGCAATGCTTAATATCATTAGTTGCCCAACTGATACAAATTTAAATATCAATGCACTATTAATACATGACTAGAGGGGAAGAAAGAAAATTAAGTAACTGCTGGCAAAATGTTGAGTGACAGTCCTGTATAGAGTTGACGGAATGAAAATGGGTGACACCACTGCAGAAGAGTGACAGTAGCTAGTAAAAATATTGCTTTATTAAAAACAAATGCAAAAATCTATGTCAGCTGCAGTACCTTAAGAGACTCCAAACAGAACTGAGTATCCACTGTAAAGTGGTACATTCAACCAACAGTGGGCCACTCTAACATTTATACAGGGACATGGCTGAGAAGTTAAGGCACCTGCTACTGACGGCCAGTTCAAATCCCCAGAAGCCACATAAATGCTGGATGGGCATTGATGCCTGCCCATTTGTAACTCCAGCACTCAGAAGCCAGAGACGGGATTCCCCATGGGCAAACTGGCTAGCGTTGGTGAGCTCTGGATTCAATTCAGGAGACCCTGACTCAGAGAATACAGTAAAGAGCAATGAAGACTCCTGATTGTCAGCCCCGGGCCTCCACAGATACACAAGACCATCCAGACACACGCAAACACAACTGCACAGGCACAGGCAAATACACACAAATCCCTACATATAAGAAAAAAAAACATTGGAAAAAAATGGAAATCTAAACATGGTATAAATTTCAAATTATTTTATTGTATATTGGGTTGTTTTATCTATCCTGTAATGGAAAGCCTGGCAGGCAGATCTCATATCTTCACAGTAACATTAGCACATATGTTGTATAATGAAAATCTCCCAGAAATGCAGTGTATTCTTGAGTGTATCTCACCATTAGCTGGCATCTTTCCAACTGCTGAGCGAGCCCCTGCAGAGTCCCTGCCCTGTCTTTTTCCTCCAGCAGCTGAATTCTACTTGGTCAAGAAGTGTTTTTAAAATCCGGTAAGTATCACTTATTTCTGCTCAAGAATCTCCTACATTAAAATTGCTTAGGATATTATTTTATTAACCCATCAAGTGCACAAAAATATGAGTGTAGGAAGTTTTCTGGTCCCGCAGCCACTCTCAAATAATCACTAAGAATCTTAATATTAGTTACAAATGCTCGGCCGGTAGCTCAGTCTTGTTACTAACTATCTCTTAACCCATTTCTATTAATCTATTTGCCACCCCAAGGCTTGTGGCTTTTACCTCTGCCCCATTTTGTGTGTCCGACTAGCTCTCCATCTGGCTGGTGACTCCCTGAGTACACCATTCTTCATCCCTGCATCTATGTGCCACCCCAAGGCTTGTGGCTTTTACCTCTGCCTATTCCTCCTGCCTGGCTACCGGCCAATCAGCTTTTTATTAACAGTGAGGGCAATACATATTTACAGTGTACAAGGACTGTTTCACAGCATATGAGTAAGCGAATGATTGCAGGAAGTGATGAGTTCTAGGGAACTACATTACATTATAACGTCATGAAGGACAAAGAACTGTTGGCCTTCTTAGGAGCCTTCCTTGGAAGGAACAGAACATCTATAAACTCACGGCTCCATGTCCCGGTCAGTGCTGGCTTCTTCTGGGGAAGAGCAAACAACTTTATTTAGAAAACAATCCATTTCTCCAGAAAATTAAAAAAACAAAAACAAAAAACCCAACTATCCAGGGTAAGACTGTAGTAAAACCAAGAGATATGCATGTACACACCTCATCTGGGAAAGCAGAAAACTGACAGAGAGGTACAGTCACACTGTCAGAGGAGAGACAGAAGCCAACACTCATCACAGCTATGGAAGAGATAAGGCGACCATCTTGGTCTCCTGCCTCCTTCGGCCAGCGTGACATTTCGCCCCCTCCCCAGTGTTTTAAATTATAAACTTACATCATGCACGTGTTGCTCCTTAAAGGATAAAATTAAAACAAGGCATCTTCTGTAAAGCAAATAGATTTATTATGCACTTCATGTACATTGGGATGTTCTCGCATAATATAATACAAGGGATAAAATAAAACTTTACACTGTGAAATTCAATGTACATTTTAGGTTATTTATACACCCCACACAGCGCGAACAATAGAAGGAAAGCATTTGTCTGCCGCTATATTTGTGGAACGTGTTGACGGAGGGCATTAAGCAAAACAAACAGTTGTACAGCCAAACAGCACGACCACTCACTCCTGCCTCTGAAGTCAGGGGCTGTTTTTGGTTGAGGAATCTGGTAGGGGCGGGAGAGGAAGGAACAAAAGGTATTTGCTGTACACCGCAGGGCACTGATTTCTGGTCCTCTTTTTCCCCCTACACTTTCCTGGACCCCCTCCAGATGTTCACTTTTCTGACATTTTTACCACTTCTGCCAGTGGCACTGACCTTCAGCACGGGGTGTGAAGGAAACAATACAAAAGCATTACAAACGCGCGACATCCCAAACTGCTGATTTACAAAATTTAAACATTTGAATTTCAAAAATAGCTATTTATTATTTATTTGTGGGACTGTTTCTTATCTTTGTAATAGAGCAGAAGCATTGCTTTTCCCCAGTGTGGTACTAACCTCCCCCATCCCAAACTGGACAAGCATAGGGGGGTGGCTGCATCACTCTGGTCAGCCTGATCCTCACACCAGAAGTCGTTTTTGTTCTACCAAAACTCCTTGAGGAATACTTATGAGAACCCTATTTTTCCAACAGGCTCCCCTCCTACCAACTCTTCCAGGCGTGTAAAGATGGATATAAAAACACTTGGAGAATATAGATCCCTACTGCGATGAGCCCTTTGCCCTTTGGTCACAAGGTGCAATTTTGTAAAAGCAATAAAATTAAATAAATACGATTTCAATAATTCAAGAGTAATAGACAAACTGGCAGCTTTCGTGGTTCTCTTCCTTAGAAAGAAAAAAAAGGTATACCTAATAAGAAGTCAGAGGTTTCTCTTCTATGGTAAATGTAGCGTGTGAGAGATGGAGTCACACTGGTCCTAGTAACAGGGTACTATCGACAGATTCAGAAACACTTCTAAGGCTGCCTTGCAAGAGTCCTGTTAAATGTCATTAATCAACGTCCCATAGGGACAAGAATTCAATCCTTGAGACATTCACATTTGACGTGTCAGTATCAACCATGCCATCACCTTAACTTTGAGTGAGTTCATCAGCCATCCCTCTTCCTGGTTAGGACTGGCGGGAGACACACAGGAAATGACATTGAAAAACAAAGCAAGGAAAGGCTTTCACAAAGACTGGAGAGAGAAACACACAGAGTAAGCAGTTACACATCTGGGCTTCCACGAACAACACGACTCGTGCCTTTCACACGTGACGACCATTACTGGCCTCTCATTAAAACATTCCAAAGTTTTCAGTAGTAGCAATGGTTTTGTGCTCAATTTCCAAATTCTCTTTCCCCTCTCCCCCTTAACCACAGTATGAGAAGAGCACAGAATCTCCAAGGCCTGGGAGACAAACAGGACTACAGTGCTCAAGGATCAAACCACCCTTGGCTTCTAAACCAACCTGCCAGACATTTGCACAATCCATCTAAACTGTTCCACGTTCCTGATGCCGATGCCTCCCATACCATGGCACTCAGCCATCCTATGTGCAATTGTGCAAAGATGAAAACAGGAAAAAGAATGTGGCCGGGAAAAGTGCAAGCCCACCAGTTCTATCGAATAACAAAAGGTATGTGCTGTGACTAACGGTTAGTGGTGTCCCCTGTGATGGGCAGCACACTGTACATTCAAGAACATCCATCCCAGCAAGTCATTCAAATGTACCCAATGGGTTCTGATGGGGCTAATTTGGTTACGCAGTAACTGGCAAGTGGAAATAGCTCAGAGCAGTGAACATTCAATTACGATGAGAGATTACATTTCATTCAGCTGAAGGAGGCGAAGGCAGCCGGTGACTGATTCAGGGACCAGAGTCATCCTTAGCTGGACCTGGAGCCTCTGTCTGCACATGTGCCCCCGGGCACTAACTGCTCTGTCCTTGGGAATGTCCAAGCTTCAGGAATGGTGGCCCATCGACTCGCAGGTGGGATGACAGGCTCAGAGCCTCTGTGGATGCACAGCTCTTCTGCCTGTAGTCAGAGTGGCCAGCGTTTGCCTGCTCCGTCATTCAGCCTTACACGGATGGTGCTTGCCTGATTTAAACCACCAGAGGGGCTCTCTCCACCGTGGAAGGCTCGTCACCAAGTCATTTCTTCACCTCCGTGTGGCATCAACACAGAAACTCATTTTCATCTAATGCTGAAGGTTAGCAGACAAAAAACAGTTGCAAGAATTGCTTTATTGAGTAACATTTTTAAATACACAAGAACCAGGCACACCAGACAATGCGATGGGACTGAGTACACACCACAACGCAGGAAACAATAAATACGGAACACTGCCTTTGCGGAGACACCTGACTGTGGCACATGCACATTTACAGAATGGGAAAATACTCAAAACCGGGTTTGGTTGTATCGAGGAGCTGCAGTTCACGTCTGCATTTATTCGGTGTGGCGGAGACTGCTTCAGCATGGGGTTACGCTGAGAAGGGCAGCCTTACTGGGTAGGCACATGACAGTACGTCAGGACACAGTACTGAGGGAGTCACAGTCTGGCCAGCACATCCTCAGGTGTCCTGCTTCCATCTGGCAGCTGAACGGGCATTCTGACCACAAGCCTTCTGTTTCACAGAAGGGGAAACTGAAAAAAAAAATTATATTTTTCTTGTAATGACAGTTTTAAGACCTTATAAAAGAAAATTATTCTACCAAACACCTTCTATCACATTTTTACCGAAGTACCGTTAATACTTCATTTTCCTAAGAGATATTATGAGATTGCTTGTGTGTGTGTGTGGGGGGGGGAGGTGTTGCACCATTAGAACCAAGTATTTGGAGGAGTATTTCTGAATGACTTTGGATTGACCATCCATCCGACCTCACAGAAGGATGTTTAGTGTTAGAAGATACTTGTAATGATGGTTAATTTGTCAAATGCCTAAACTAGATCACTGAAGACAAGAGGAGCAGAGATGGAGATGCCAGCTTGTCTGAGTGTGATCGTCACCAGAAGTCAGCCCGTCTACAAAGCCGCTGGACATTAGACAAGCTGCTTAATGAAATCTTCAGTTTATTTAGACACGGAAAAGAGCCCCTGAGGGGCACCCAAGGCGTACACATGAGCTCCTGCTATCTTTCCACCCACCTTTTCCTGGGCAGTGAAGCTTCCTATGATAAGATGGAGGAGAAAAAGATCTATTTAATAAAAAAAAATACTAGTGATCTGAACATGGTCTCTATATCCCTGCCCCTAAATATGGAAGTAAGTAAATGATAGCCTAATTCCTTCACCATGGTCCACACTTGTTCATGATACATGCGAAACTACTAGATTTCTATCAGTTATTGTAATAAAACTTGATTACCAATTTAAACCCACGGTCTGTTTCTGGGTGAAACAATGAAGCTAACATTTGCCAACCATGCACTAGGCACAGCCCAGAGCTTCAAAGGCAAATAGTGAATACTTAGAAAACAGTCAAGTTTTCCATCAGAAATCTCCTCGGAGAGGGAAATGATAATCCAGGAATCTCAATCTAAAATTGATAGACGATATATTCATCTGTTCATCTACTTATCCAATACATTACTACAAAAGGACTGCCACAGGTTCAGATGGGATTCCAAGCACATGAACGCAGCATCGACTACACACACATTCCTTCAGTCTAACATTTTGAAGGGCGAAAGGGAGAGGAGATAAAGAGTGAACAGATTAAGCGTCTATGTGTCACCAACTATACATTATCTGTCACCCACTGTCTCTGTCTGTCGCTATTACCTGTTATCTTCTCATTATTTATATAGCTATGTATCTGTTACCTATCATCTGACCCACGTATCAACACATCCATTGCCAACCAATGTCTACTACCTATCTGCATACCAGCACATCTATCTACGGTCTATTACCTATTAGCTATCCTATCCTCGGTCTTTGCATCTGTATATGGATCTATCAATGGTATGTTACATAGGTGCTTTGGACAGGTGCTAGCGTTTGAAGACCTCAAACTGAGCAGACTGGCTGGGATGACATCCCAAGAGCACCAGGAAGATTTAACTTTCGTTCCTTCATTCTCCCCACTGCAGTCTTACCTCTCACAAGGGCGTTTCCTTCTTGTAGTTGAAGCTGGGATCAGAGCCCTCAATCTGGAGCTTCAGGGCTTGTTTAAGGTTCAGCTCTGTCTCCGAGGGAGGGAAGCCCTCCAGCACCTCCGGATGCCCTCGCTCATGCACTGCTCTAGGGACGGAGACCCTGCCCAGGAACACCTGGCTGCTCTGCAGATGGTAATTGGGGTTCGTCATGATCCCATTCCTCTTCTTCTGCTCCCCGCTCTGCTGGTGGATGAGAAACTGTGGCTGGGTGCGGCTGCCGTCCTGAGGCGAAGGGACCACAATTTTACACTGAGATTCCCCTGGTGTCTGTTTAGGTGGGCTACTCCCAGACTTAGCAACAGGTCCTCTTTTGTCAAACTGGGTCATTTCATATTCTAGAACCTTTGGCTGTGAGGAATTATTTTGTTTAGTTTTCTTCCCAGCTGACCCAGACTTGCTGGAGTTTTCTGACTTGCCTCCTTTATTTGATTTTGTTGACTTCAGACTTGGTTTGACTTGGCTCCACTCAAACTCACTACTGGGGGAATTATGGCTGTGTCCTAAGGACTGGGTTGTGGAAGAAGGGGACACGACGGACTGCCTGCTGCGGCTGCGTGGCAGCGAGTGCTGCTGGATCTGCTCTGTGAATGACAGGCTGTGGAAGCTGTCAATGGGCACCGTTTGAGCCGTGGCTGTGGAGGACGTTGTTCTCAGGGAGGAATTTTTGGAGCTTTTCAGGGAATTGTTGGACAGGGACGATTTCTGCCGATCCACAGTCGAGTCTGGAGACTCTGAGGGAGAGCTGAAGGCATGGGCGGGCCCATTGGGCAGGCCCCGGAGGGAAGGCTGCAAGTCACCTCCACCAGTGCCCCCAGAGCTGTTGGACCTGATGGTCAGAGATTGCACCTTGGTCGGTGCCGACTGTGGAGGCTTCTGCTCCATTGTGTGGACAGGGGAAGGGGAGCAGCCATTCAGACTGGAAGCACCGTATTTTTCTAACAACTTAATGATCTGAGAATGCCCGTTTTTGGCAGCCACTCTCATGGCAGTACGTCCAAACTGGTCGGCGTGATTGGGGTCAGCGCCGTGCTCCAGCAACACCTGCACCACATCCACATGTCCCTCCTGGGCCGCGATGCAGAGGGCCGTGGCGCCTTGGTTGCACGTGTGGTCCACCACGGCGCCATGCTCTATCAGAAGCTGGACCACTTTGACGTGGCCCTGCCAGGCCGCAGACTGCAGAGCCGAGCGCTTCTCATTGTCTGCTGCATTAACGTCGGCATGGCAGGCGATCAGCACCCGGACCATCTCCACGTGACCCTGCCAGCAGGAGACGTGCAGCGCTGTCCTTCCCTCTGCATCGCTGGCCTCCACATTTGCACCGTTCTCCAAAAAATACTCAGCCATGGTAAGCTGGTTCTCTAAGGCCAGGATGTAAAGTGTGGGCCGCCCATCGGCGTCTTTGTAGTTCACATCAGCCCCGTGGCTAAAGAGTAATTCCACGATGTCCCGGTGCCCTTCCAGAGCCGCAACACGCAATGCATTCCTCCCGTCATAGCCTCTCTGGTCTATGTTGGATTTGTTCTCCAGCAGGATCTGGACACAGTCATAATGGCCCTCCTGTGAGGCCAAAATGAAGGGGATGCGCCCATCATTGTCAATCTCATTTGTTCTAGCACCTTGTTCTATCAGAGCTTCACATATTAGTCTGTGGCCCTCAAAAGCTGCCATGTGGAGAGGCGTCCAGCCAGCATCATCTCGGTGGCTCTCGTCCAAGCCTCTGTCCAGGAGAGTGCGCACCACCTCCACATTGCCCTGTGCCGAAGCTATGCTGAGGACTGTCCGGCCTTCGCTGTCGATGCTGTCCACGGCTGCGCCCCAGAACAGAAGCGTGTTGACCACAGAAGCATGCCCCATGGAAGCTGCAGCCAGCAGGGGCGTCCGCCCGTTGTTATCTGTGTGATCCACATCTGCTCCTCCTTCGAGAAGCAGGTCGACCACATCCACATGGCCTTCGTAGGCTGCCACCAGCAGGGGGGTCATTCCATCCTTGTCACAGTGATCGACCTCAGCCCCTCGGTCAATCAAGAGGCTCACAACTGACGCGTGTCCTTTGCTTGCAGGCACACAGAGTGCGGCCACTGAGAGAGCTGTTCTGCCATCCACGTCCTCGTGGTTGACCTCTGCACCGTGGTCCAGCAGGTGCTCGACGATCTCCCTGTGGCCCATGTACGCTGCAGCGATCAGTGCAGTCCGTCCCTCGTTGTCGGCCTTGTTGACCTCGGCACCATGCTGTAGCAGGTTCAGGACAATGTCCTCGTGGCCACCCCAGGCTGCTGCCCGCAGAGCCGTCCGGCTGTCTGCATCTGCACAGTCTACCTTTACGCCAGCGTAAAGCAGGGCAGACACCACCTCCGTGTGGCCTCCCCAAGCAGCGGACCTCAGCGCTGTCCAGCCATCCTGATCGGTGTGATTAATGTTGGCTCCACACCCAATCAAACAGTTAACCACCTTCGTGTGCCCTTGTCTAGCAGCTAGCGTGAGTGGAGTGTGTCCATGGGAGTCTTCGATCTCTAGATCAGCTCCCCTGGAGACCAGCAAATTCACAACATCCAGACTGCCACTGTATGCGGCATTGGCCAGCAGAGTCCTCCCATTGGAGTCACACTGGTTGACAGAAGCCCCATTATCCAGTAATGTCCGAATGGAGTCCTCTCTCTCGAGGGCTTGCCGGACGATGCCGGAAGTGCGATCGTCCTCGCTGTTGACGTGAGCGCCAGCCCGGATCAGCAGCTGCAGCACCTCTTGTTCCTTGGGTATTAAGGTGGACAGAGAGTCTTTGACTGGGGTGCCATTCCAGATCATCCACAGGGCCAGTTCGGCTGGCTCCAACTGCAGATTCGAATTAATCAAGTGCAAGGCAAATTCTTGTGCTTCCAGTGGGGTCAGGTTCCGGGCCTGGCAGGTGTAGCTCATGGCCAGCATCCTGTGCCCTTCCGCAGCGTTACACAGGTACTTCTGGGTGCAGTGCTTCACATCCAGGAGCCACTCGGCAAAGCTGTGGTGGAACAGGATCTTGGTGCTGCCCAGCCCATCCACCAGGAGCTTGGAGAGGACGTCCAGCTTGCGCTGGAAGTCTTCCAGGGTTAGAGACATATTTTTGGTCCACACGGCATGGTATAATTCTGTCATGGTCAGGGGCCGGCAGGCTGCAAGGATCACGTTCAGGATGGGCTGAACTTTGGCAAACTGTTTTCGGACAAAAAGTCTCTGGCAGAGCCAGAGATAGAGACCATTCAGAGTTCCTGGGATGTCTCGGATCTCCCGAAGCATGATGAAATTCTCTACAACCCCGTCCAGCACGCGTTCTAGATACAGGAAGCACCCACTGCTCTTGATGTGCAGCTGGTTCAGAGTCTCAGCTGTCTCCTTGGTGAGGTGCTGCCGAAGTGCCTCCTCTTGATCCAGGCGGTGGAGGATGTATTGCTGTACATCCTTGACGATGTACGCCTTCCGAAGGTCATCCAAACTGATCTTCCGGAAACCTGCAGAAGACGGGCAGGCTGAGTAAGTAGAATACAGAGGTGGGCATGTGTCTGAAGAGAGTGAGCCAAGGCAAATAACCTGACTCATGGCTTAATACTAATAAGAGGGTCCACCACTACTGCTTGTACGTCATGTGGAAACGCATAAACAACAAAGCAGTGAGGAGCTGTCCTGCAGCTCGATGCCTATTTCAACCCCTTTGCAAGAAGCACTAACTAGAAACAGACAGACACACACAGCTACAGAAGTACCTCGTGAAGACACTCTGAATATCAGAGATGTGAGAGCCAAATAGGTCTGTTTTTACAGGATGATCTTTTTTCACACAAATAATAGCTATTTCTGCCCATCTGTTTGACTATGTATCAGCCTTGATGTGAACGGTTTATATCAAAACAGTAACACTAGTCACTCTCTTTATACTACGTTGCTTTATGATATAAAATTAAAATAATTAAATCTCAGACTGTCAAGAATTAGCTGGAACCAATTAAGATGCAAATTTCCAAATTACATTTGTAAAATTCTAGCACTGTAAAAATAAAGACACTTACTGAAAGCCAAACAAAGCTAAAAGCACACGGGTGGTGACTACTCTAATATCTTCAAAGCAGAGTATGACAGCAGCTTCTAAAGCAACAGTTCTCAATCTGTGGGTCATGACCTCTTTGGGGGTCACATATCAGATATCTTGCAGATCAGATATCTACACGATGATTCATAACAGTAACAAAATTACAGTTATGAAGTAGCAATGAAATAATTTTATAGTTGGGGGGTCGCAACATGAGAAACTGCAGTAAAGGGTCTCAGCATTAGGAAGGTTGAGGACCACTACTCTAAACGGACATCAGTGTACAGACCTGGATTTGTTAGCTAACTGTTTGTCTCATGAAGGTAAAGGCTACAAATAAACTCATCAAGGTTTGCGTGTGTTAGGAATGGCCATCCCCAAACCACTCAAGAGCAGAGCAAGGCAAGGCTGCAGACCCTTTGACATAAAAGACACTCCAGAAGGGACCATGGCCTGTCTGATAACTGCAGCAGCCTCAGGGACATAGATCCATGCTGTCTGTGCTGGGGATTACGAGCAAAAGGAGGTCCACACTGGGGGGCTAGGTGAGTGTGGATAAGTCGAAAGTGAGCCCCACATCTGCCTTGACCAACAGGACTAAGCCACTATCACAGGTCTGGAAAGAAGACTGACCACTTCAACTACCTGAACCCAAGGCTGAAATACCTGAGGGCATTTTTTTTTTTGAAAAGTACAATCTGTCAACAACAGACAAGATAAAATAACACACGTGTAGTGCCCTACATTTATAGAGTAAGACCTATAACATACACCACACACACACAACCTAAACCCTCCATATCAAAAGACAAACTCTGAAAGAGGCTGACCAACACGGAAGGTTTAGAATTGAATTTGGCCTGAGCCTGACCTCTCCCACATTCCCAGCCATGTTAGCATGTACTTCACAGTACAGTCTTGGCCATGCTGCTGCCTAGTGTGTATTCTCTTGAGCTTTTCTTCCATAAGGTGCCTAATAACCTCACCTGTGTGCCTCACGCTGTATACCTTTAGAAAACACACTTCGACTAAAACACATTAAAAAAAAAAAAACAAAAAGAGCCGGGCAGTGGTGGCACACATCTTTGATCCTAGCACTTGGGAAGCAGAGGCAGGTGGACCTCTGTGAGTTCAAGGCCAGCCTGGTCTACAAAGTGAGTTCCAGAACAGCCAAGGCTACATGGAGAAACTTGAAAACCAGAAACAAACAAACAAACAAACATACAAAAAAAATCAAAAAAACCCACACTCTATTTTGCTTTCATTTAGTGGCTGTATTTTAAGTGTTAGAGTTTTGTAGGCATAATTATTTTAATTTGATAACATAACATAAAATAAACCCTTCCAACTTAAAGGAAGACTGAGCACATCACCAGGAATGTCTGGCACCCCACATACCCTAGCCATTTGATATGACTGGTCTCCAAACCTCTTGTATGTTCACTTCTTTGTTGTTTATAAAGTCTTTACAACAGTTTAGGGTAAAAAGGAACCCATCTGGGGAGGTGGTTTATGCCTATGATTCCAGGACTGGGAAGCTGAGGCAGGAGGATTATGAATTTGAGGCCAGTCTGGGGTACACAGCAAGTTCTAGGCCCATGGCTAGTAAATAAAACATTACTAAAGTGGTATGCAATAGTGTTTTAAAGTTTCCAAAGTGATGTGCACACAGGCTGATCTATGTCAAAGATTATATAACCCATTATGCATAAATATCTGTAATTTAAGCTAATTAACTAAGATCATCTGATGAAAACTTGAGATAACAAAGCCTCCACAGTGCCAGACCTGATGTGTTCAAAGTGGGCTAAAGAAAATGCATTGAGTCAGCTCTCCTTGTGTGTGGCGGAACTGGGGACTGAATGCCGGGCAAGGGCTTTTCCCCTTGGGCTACATGCACTTTAAGACTTTACTCACACAGCTGTCCTGTACACCATGAGGGAGGTTCAAGCACAGAGAGCTGCCAGAGTCACCGACTGTGACCAAGGGGTCAGCATCAGGGCTTTGTGTGATGCTGACAGAGCTAGAAGGACGAAGTGGTGGAACACGGACCGGATGCTCCACAGAGGGAATCGAAATGCTTACACCTTGGAACATGATCTTTTCTAAATTTAAGGAGTAATGTGGATTTAAGAATTTATATTTACCCCCAGCAACAGTTATGTTCAATTAAGACATGATTAAGAACTTGGGGCAGGCAGCTGTGCCAACAATCCTAGCACCAGGGGGAGGCAGAAGCAGGAAGACTGCTACAGATTCAAGGTCCACATGGGAAGGCCCATTGCAGTCAGGGCAAGGCTTAGTGTCAAAAACAGAACAGAAATAAGAGCAGAGGTTTAGTAGTGTTCAGTAGTGCAAAGCTTTGGCTGAGCTGTGCGCGCATGGGCGTGCGCGCGCGCGCACACACACACACACACATACTGAGAGAGAACTCAGACTGTCCACTGACCAACAACCTTGAGCACTGAAAATGACTTCATTTACTTTTTGGGAGGCTGGGGATGGAGCTGAGCACCACACTCACAGAGCCATACACCTCTTTTGAGTGAGGGTCTCTCACTGGCCTAGAACTCACTACATAGGCTAGGCTGCCTGGCCAGTGAGCCCCAAAGGCCCTCCTATTTCTGCCTCTCCAGTAGGGAGCTTTTTTATGTGGTTCCTAGAGCAGGTGCTCCACCAATGAACCATCTCCAGGCCCACTAAACCACTTTTCTATCTTTGGTAAAATATCTCAGTGGGTATGATACTCCGTGGAGTTGGCTAAACAAACGGGTTTGAGTCTGCTACAATCAGTGCACAGTCGGTACTCTGATAGGGCCTGACCCCATGCTTACAAACAGGAGTTCACATGTTCAGAATCCTTCTGGGACCCCAGTCTGTGCTCACACAGTCAGCACCCTGTTTTCACGGAGACTACATCCTAGCTGAGAGGACGGCTAGTAAATACACACATGAGAATCAGACAAATTTTCAGTGATACCGCATTCATGAAAAAAAATAAAACCAGACAGAGTGAGAATGTGACTGTGCAGGAAGGGGCCACAAATAAACAAGAATGGAGAACACAGTCTGTGAGTAAAAAGTCCTATCTGGGTTGTCACCTAAGTGGGAAGATGGCAAGAAGTTCAAGGGATGAGCGTTTTAGCAGAACATCATGTGCAAACCGGAATGTGGAAGAGGCAACCTGACTTTGCAAATGCTGGCTGAAGACAATGCAGAGGGAGCCCTCACGCTGAGGCAGGCATGGGAATCACTGCGTGCACAAAAGATTGACCCAGGACTATGATGGTCACACTTCCTAACTCAGCAAGTCCAAATCGACTGGAGGACAGACGGTCGTTGAGCAAGCCCTTCTGGCAACTGAGGTTGAGTATCTCATCCAAAATGGCCAGGATGGGAAGTAGTTACATCTTCTCAGATTTGGAATATCTGCTTATACATAAGGAGAACAGAACCCACCTCCCAGCACAGAACCCATCTGTGTCACATGAACATTATCCGCACATCCCGAAGTGCAGGTGATATTCTAAGTACCGCACGAAACACAATCTTGACCTGGAATTCTCCTTGGACGCACTCGGTTTTTGGATTTTGGAGCACTGTGGACTTTAGGGGTCAGTGAAAGAGGATCAGCCACCGTGAAAGCACAAGGACAATCAGACGCCAAAAACAGAGGACGAAAGGGATGAAGAGGAGGTCGTCTCACTGGATTCCTGTTACTGTGATGAAACATTATGACCAAAAACAACTCGGGAAGGAAAGGGTTTATTTCATCTCATGGCTTGTCCTCTGTCATCCGGAGAACTCAGGGTTGGAACCTGCAGGCAGGAGCCGACTCAAGAAACCACAAAACAACGCTGCTTACTGCCTTGCTCCCTTGGCTTGCTCAGCCTGTTTCCTTTATACAACTTGGGACCATCTGCCTGGGGGTCTAACATCAATCATCCATCCAGAAACTGCCCCACAGCTGCCTGCATACCTGCCAATCTCGTCTCAACTGAGGTCCCATCTCCCCAAAGGTCTCGAGCCAGCACACTTGTTCACAGCCAAGAACGCCCAGCAGTTGAGGTCAATGACCCAAAGATTTCAGGTCAAAACTGAATTTTATTAACAAACGCGATTGAGATGACAAGAATATGAGAATGTGTAGGAAGCCCTTATGGTGCCTCAGGCACATCTAACCTCTAAGGACCCCACATTACAGACAGGAAACGGGAGGTCAGGCAAGTGGCCTGAGGTCACACAGTCAGCAGTGAGCACTATGGACACATAGTAGTGAGTCATTTGTGCAAACAGAAGACTACAGCTCGGGGCTAGAGAGATGCTCAGGGTTACAGCATGTGCAGCTTTTGCAGGGGAGCTGAGTTTGGTTCCCAGCATCTCCACTGGGCCACTCACAACTGTCTGTAACTCTACTTAGAGGAACTCAAGTTCATATATACACATACACACTTAAAAATAAAACTTAAGAGTTCATAAGGTATATAGAACACAAATGAGCTGATGATACTTGGTGACTTGGACAAGGAGAGAAGCCACGCCCTCAGCCATACACAGGAGCTGCCGCACAGCACTGGCTGTGGTCACTGCTGTGGCCTTATCACATGAGTTCCTTCTGTCATCACAGGGCTAAGTTGAGTGCTGCAAAGAATCCAAGACCACAGCAGTGAAGCCCTGGGCTTAACCCTGCCATGACAAAGGGATGCATGTGAGGACCTTTGGCAGGACTTCAGGGGCCACAGGGAGATACTGATCAATGACCAATGAGCAGGAAAGTGTAGAGACCTACTGAAAAATAACACAGCTCATCGCTACCTTAGGTCTGGGAAGTAGGGAAAAAGCGTTTTTTCGTATGTGCACACATTTTTCTGTGCGTACATACACGTGGAGGCCAAGGAATAACTTTGGGTGTCATTTGTCCTCAGGACTCAGTCATCTTTTTTTTCTGAGATACAGTCTAGGCTAGGCTGTTGGGACAGTGAGCTGTAGGGGTCTGACTGTCTGTCTCCCTAGTACTGGATCAGAAGCGTGTGCCAGCATACCTGGCTAGATTTTGCTGTTGTTTTTTGGTATGGGGGTTTTCATGCATGTATGACTAGTACTTTACTCACTGAATTATCCCCTCAGCCCAGGGAAAGAACTCTGAGAAAAGCTAATGATGATACCCATGATCCTAAGGTATGGTGGCGAGAGGCTGAGAGGGTGCGTGCAGCAGTAAGGCCTCCATTTGCCTACTCTGCTCCATAGGAGAAACCCAGCCTGGGCTCGGGCCTAGAGCACACAACTCTGGGCGTCATGCAGTCTTGCTCACCAGTGAACATTTTAGTGACCGCTCTGCTTTGTTTCCGGGCGGAGCAGAGGAGCAGTAGCCACGGGGGAAAGAACTCGTGGTGACCAGCCAAGAGCTCTGCCACAGTCCCGGAGAGCCCGGATGATGTCTGCTCCCCTTCCATCACATTGCAGCCTTCGTCCACGGAGTCAACCAGCAGGTAGAGGCTCTGTGAGGGCGGCTTCATCCCCAGGAGCGGGAGCAGCACACACCTGTAAGACAGCCAGAGAGCAGGTCAATGTCACTGACAGGGCACTGGCATTCATAGTACGCATGTTGGCATTATTGGTTAGACTGTTATAAAAATAGAGATTCCAGATAAAATGCATCTTCTACGTGGTTCACTTCCCAATACTACCAGCTTCCAGTACAGTGTGTGCTGTGCCCTAGCCTGTGCATATGCTCTGACTCAGGGCAATTAAGGATGGTAGGAACTGGATGAAACTAGATTTAAACACCCTTCCTGGTGTTTGAGTCAGCTTTAAAGTGCTTAGATTGTCCGTGTGCTGAAAAGAGCCAACTCCGAGGACACCATAGCAGGAAGAAACCTATTGTCCTGGTTTGATTTTGGGTCAACTTGACACAAGCGAGGGTCGCCTGGGAAGAAGGAGCCTCAGCTGAGAAAAAGGCTCCATTAGACTGGTCTGTGGGCAAGTCTGGACTGCACTTTCATGACAATCACTGATGTGGGAGGATCCATTCCAGTATGAATGACGCCACCCTGGGCAGGTGGTGCTGGGAAGTAGAAGGAGGCAGAGAAAGCCATGATGAGCAAGCCAATAGGCAGCAGTCCTCCATGGTCTCTGAGTCAGTTCCTGCCTCCATGTTCTTGCCTGCAGTTGCAGCCCTGACTCCCCTCAGTGATACTACCTGGGCCAAACACAGATTAATAAAGGCAGGTTAATTAAGTTATAAGAGCTAGCTGGAACAAGTCTAAGCTAAAGAACAAACTTTCATAATTAACAATGTCTCTGTGTCATTTGTCATTATTTGGGAGCTGGTGGTCCCCAAGAAAAAACCCAACACAAGAAAGTCCTACTATATACCATCACTGAGTCTACATTTGTCAAAAGCACAGAACTGTACAAGAGCCACTATTACCACATGAAAACTAAAAAAACATTTACATGGTATAAAATATGCGAGAAAAATATAATAAGCCTCTCCTGGTAATGTCCCTTGGTGTGGGAGCCTGAATTCTCAGTAGTCGGCTGACTCTGCTCTTCACACACTAATGCTGAGCAGGTCAGTACACAGAGAGTCTTTGTTCAAGGGCTAGCCTGGCCAGGGCCTCCAATCCCATCATTACTCCTCAAGCTACCAAGGTCCACCCTGCCCTGGCAGCATGCTGCGTCCAACTACAGGTTTCTGTTTCCAGGCTCTGACCAATAATTGCTACTTACCCATTCCCTCCAACTCTGCGGGCCTGCCTGTGGGCCTATGAACAGGCCCTCTCGTGCCAGAGCCCTCCCTGTATGCCTACCACCACGCTCGCTCTCTCTTCGCCCCAGAGCTCAGCTCAGATACACTCACAGAAGACTTGGGATTACACTGCTCACTCTGCAGCCTGTAGACACACACTGCTCACATGCCCTCAACAAATGGGACCTATCAGGTAGTTCAAGGAACCAGTAGTGGAGCATCTACCTTTCTGATCTCTAGGGAAGAGAAGGGATTGCCAGGAGAGCTCACCTGTTCCCCACCAAGAGCTCACCCAGGGCCTCATGAAGACTTACTTATGTTTGCTGGGTGAATGGATGGGTGGCCTGATATATTTATAAAACATTCATTTGTAAAGATCTTTATCCCCAAAACATAAAAAATTCACAATTCTCAAGAATAAGATACCTACAACTCCAGTACCGACAGAACAGTGTTCTTCATTCCCAAATGTAAACATAAACGACTCTCGGCTGGCTACTGTGGGCTTGTGGAAGTTGGCTTTATGTGACAACTTGACTGGACCACAGGATTCCCACATGTGGTCTTCTCTTCTGAATGTTTCTAAGGTTCGAAACAGTGGCTCTTACCCAATCGGCCAAAAGCTAACTCCATGACTGCCTGAGTTGTGACATCAGTTTATTCTTTTCTTCAGGCTCAAAAGAAAAACCAGCTGTTTGGGTCTCGAGAACATGAGCTTTGCAATGAGAACCTGCACCACCACTGCGCTGACGCAGGTCAGCTTTCTAGGTCTCCAGCCCGCTAGCTGCACACCTTGCAGTTCTCAGCATATATCACCATGGAGGCGAATTCCTTATAAATTAATCCATGCATTACAACTTCTGTGGAGCCTTTCGAGGGCTTACTCTAAAGCCATTTACCTCTTACTTTCTATGTACTCAGGATTTCTATGTGGAATCCTGTATTTGGACCTATACAGCATCTTTCTACCACTCTCCCCTTTCTACAGGGAGCTGTGAGGTTACAATACTCCACAGTACCGGAGAGAAGACTCATCTTGTGATTTCTTTCAGGTTTAGTTCTTGGAATAAGCAAATGAAACTGTTCCCAGAGAACACACTGGACCTACAAAGATAAGCAATGTCATATATTGTAAGAAGGTAACTCAGCTGCAGGGCACCTGTGATGCATAAATCCAGCAGGGTTGTTACAGTCCATGCAACAGTGGGGAATGGACCTTCTCAGACATTAGAAGTGTCCTAAGAAATACCTGAGGCCAACTCTGGGAGTTCAGTTTCAAAAAAGCAGAAGCAGAGTGACGTGATCTCTCCATTTCTGACAAATAAACATTTATTCTCATTGTTAGGACACTTTAGGACACGGCTGCTGACGTGAACCCCAGCAGGCAGGATCCTGAATGGTCCTGCTGCCCCAAGGCTGAGGAGGGAAATGCAAATTCTGGAAAAAAGGGTCTGTGTGTACATATAAGGGCTCAGTTTAAAGGACATTTACAAAGACATACTCAGAACTAGTAAGTGAAAAAAAAACAGCAGATACCAGCAGCTAAAACTGCGACAAGATAAAAAACAAAAAACAAAATCTAAATCAAATGATACAATTATTTCAAGTAAGTTGCATTAACTTTGTAAATACATTTTAAAAGGTCAGGTCCCATAGTGACCTACTGCAGGACGGTTTATGTCAATTTGACACAAACTAATGTCACCTGAAAGGAAGGAACCTCAATTAAGAAAAGAACTGCCTCCATAAGATTGGGCTGCAGGCAAGCCTGCAGGATATTTTCTTAGTAATAGAGGGAGGGCTGAGGTGCTACAATTCCTGGGCTGCCGGTTCTGAGTTCTATAAGAAAGCAGGCTGAGCAAGCCATGGCAAACAGCCAATGAGCAGTACTCTTCATGGCCTCTGCATCAGCTCCTGCCTCTAGGCTCCTGCCCTGACTTCCCTCAGTGATGGACTGTTCCCTGGAAGTGTAAGCTGAAATAAGCCCTTTCTTCCCCAAGTGGCTTTGGCCATGGTATTATTATATTTGGCCAACAGTAACCCTAACTAGGGCACTCCCCATTCTCCCCAACCCTAGTGCTGCTAAACAATTCTTGATATCTTTATTCACAATAGAGTACCAGAATCCTCCACTAAACCGGGGTGGACAGACATTAAGGCCACTGATCTGTCCATGAGAGAGAGAGAGAGAGACAGAGAGACAGAGACAGAGAGAGAGAGAGACAGAGAGAGACAGAGAAAGAAAAGTGGAGCAAGGCACAAAACTTTGGAGCCCATGCATCTAAAAGCAAACTGTGTGCCAGCATTTACTCTGCTTTCCACGTAACAGTACTACTGGGTTCTACTACATAAGTATGCACTTCTGCCGGAGACTCAGGTCTGTGAGAGAACATGAAAAGAAAAAGGGACAAGGATGGGAAGAGCCAGCGAGGTCCTGTGGACTCTGAACATCGTGGCTCTGCTTTGTTACTTGCTGTTACCCAGTGAGAATGTGCACATCCGTCTCTCTGAACACTCACATCTGAGCCATCCTTTCTCTGGGCTTCAGGACAGCACTCTGTCAGTGATGAGTGGTTCATGACTGAGGTTTTGCAGGAAGACTGTCCACTTCTGTTTTAAGTGGTACAACCAGACATTCTGACTTGAGGGGCTTGAGGGGATAGCTCAACAGGTAAAGTCCTTGCTGCACAGGTTGAGGACTTCAGTTAGAAACCTCAGAAACCAGGTAAAGTGTATATCCTGAAACTCAAAACTCCTAATTAGAAATGGGCCATGAAGATAGAAGATTAAGTTCAAAGGCCAACTAGTCTGGAGTACACAGTGGCAAACGAGAGAAAAAGGAAACAGACACCAAGGGTGCCCACTGCCCCCTCCATACACACACCATGGTGTCCATAACTTATAAGTGGGCACTAAGCTAAGCTGTTCTGATTCCAGGGGAGTGGGAAGAACCAAAATCCTCAAGTGTTTAGCACTCAAAATTCCATACAAGACACTGAATTTGGGGCTGAAAGGTCTTCAGGTCATGAGGGCATGCCCTTGAAGAAGTCACTGGGACTCAGGCCTCCTTTTCTCTTTCAATACCCAGCTGTAAGAACAGCAGCTGTGCTTTCAGCATGCTCTCCCATGCAGGCTAGCACCCCAACAGAGGCCTAGGGATAATGGGCTCTTGAGCATGCTCTCCCATTGTGGGCTAGCACCCCAACAGAGGACTAGGGATATGGGCTCTTGAGCATGCTCTCCCACTGCAGGCTAGCATCCCCAGCAGAGGCCTAGGGGTACTGGGCTCACCTGACCAGAGTCCAGAGCCTGGAAAACATGAGCCCAAGTTCAAAGGCCTTTATCTCTGAGCTGCTTTTCCTACAGAATGTCAGAGTGTGACATTACCAGACTGCGCACTTTGAATCCTAGAGTCTCAAGTCTCTCTTTTCCCTGTAAAGTTCAGTATCCGAGTATTAACCACGGAAGAGCCGATGATCTAGCTCAGTGGTGGGGCACCCCCATGTAGCATGTGTGAGGGTCATTTACCTAGAAGCTTAATGCTAAATCTAGCACGTTCTATATTATCTTAGAGGACATACTGACATTTCTACCAAACATTTTATTAATAACCACTCAATTCTGAAAGCAAAACAAACAACAAAACAAAACAGCCTTTAATAAAAATGTTTTTTTTTCCCTGGGGGAGGTTTATTTGCTTTTTACAGAAGATTAAAAATACGAATATCTTTTATCTTGTCTTCTCTTTGAAAAACAAACTTAGATTGTGTTTTCTCTTCTTAAAAAGTGA